TCAGAGTTGAAGCCAACGTCTGAGCAAGGGAGCGGCTTGCCTGGGAGCCACATAGCTGGTGAGGTGCAAGGTTAAGCACTCTTCACCCAGGGCTCTTTCCACTGGACCACACTGTCTCTTGGTCCACTGACTTATTTAAACACAAATTTTATTGACACTTTTTGATTATATGACCAGAAAAAGCCCCCAGCATGGAATCCTGTAACAACAAAAAAAGTTGAGCAAAAGCTAATCTACTGTGACAGTTCAACAGCGTATGTAGTATCCTGCTCCGGTGGTCCCCCACCTCTGTGCTTAGAGGTGAGAGACTGTCTTCCTTTAATGGGGAAGCATCAGCTAGGAAAGGCTGTCACTTTTATTTGAAGGTCTGGCTGTGCCCAATTTGCCAGCATGAAAAGCCCAGTCTTTGAGGGCACAGGAATGGCACACATGGTGTATGATGGTCGTGGATTTCAGCTGGTGGATCTGCGCTCACTCTGCACTCAATGCTGCGGAGAGACATGCTCAGGCTGATAGCAAACATGCTCTGCCATCCTTCCTGTCACTCCCCGTTGGGGATGTTCAAGGCCAAACGTCTGGAGTCCCTCGCCTCTAAGCACCAGCTGGAGCTCTCATGACAGCCATTCCCACTTGTGTCTGCCATCAGAGGTCAGTGGAAACCAGGCTGGGCCCTGGGCGGGATCGGCTGCTGGCATCTTCCAGGCCCTGCCCCCTGTCCCTGGCCTCCTGGTGACCCAGCCATGGGTGCTGCTGGCGGAGGATTTACAAGGGCAACCTGGTGACCCAGTACTTTGGGCCTCAGCCGTGCTTTGGAGCTGCAAAGACATTTCCAGGAAATCCTGCATCAAGTAAGCCTGGAACCAGGGCCGGGAGTGTGGCATGGCCCCTCTGCCAGGGGGGTGGCTGATCACCTCTGGGAGGAAGCCCCAGACTGTCCTCTGCCCTCTCTGAAGGGGCAGGTCTCATGAGAGAAAGACGTTTTTCCTTTCATTTTAAGCCTCTTTGAATGGTTGACTAAACTGAAGGCTAAAATATTCCATCTACTGATTGCTGACCCAGTGTCTGGCTGGCTGGTCCCCCCTTTCTTTTCCTTCTTCCTCCTCTATTCTCTCCTTCAGACAACAGTATGAGGAGAAAATCAGCAGACCAGTTTTTACCCAGCCCTCTGCTGGGCACCCAGCCCTGTGCCAGGCACTGTGGGGACCATGCCTGCTGTGTACCCAGCCCTGTGCTGGGCACCATGGGAGCCATGCCTGCTGGGTGCCCAGCCCTGTGCCAGGCACCTGCCCTCTGTGCGCCCAGCCCTGTGCTGGGAGCCGTAGGGACCGTGGCCACTGGGCGCCCAGCCCTAGGCCAGGTGCCGTGGGGACCATGCCTGCTGTGCTCCTAGCCCTGTGCTGGGCACCATGGGGACCATGACCGCTGTGTGCCCAGTGCTGTGCTGGGCGCCGTGGGCCCTTTCTCATTCAGAAGGTGGGGCCTGCTCCTGCTGTTTGACAACACCTATTAGAACCAGCACTGCTCTCAAAAACCTTCCATGGTTCACCTGGTGGTGTGGGCAGGGAAGGGGAGGGAGGAAGAAAAACTAAGGTTTCGGGAAGTGGGTGACTTGCCCACATCTGAGGCAGGATTTGAACCCAGGCCTCGACTGACTCCGAGCCCAGTCTCATGGGCCGGCTCTTGCTGCTTTGCCTATGTTCCTCCGCGCGGTAGTCTGGCCCCGTTCTGTGTGCTGGCTCCTTGGGGATTGATGCCCCCGTCAGTCTCATCGGGGGCTGCTCAGACCGTAGCCCTGCACTACCCGGTTTGACTTTAATCACATTTGCAGGAACCATGTCAGGGGGGCGAGGCGGGGGACCCAGAGGTGGGGAGGGGCTTTGTGAAAAAGGAGTTGGGAAGCATGCCAAAGGGGAAGGAAAGGGTCACTGTCCTCCTTATCCCTTTTGGTTTCTGCCAGGGTGGGAGGCTTCTTAGCTGGGGCTGGGGGGTGGGGGCCTCCGGTGTCCCCTCCTCCTTCTGTACATAGGAGGAGCCTGGGTCCCAGGGGCACAACATCAGCCTCCTCTCTTTGGCAGGAAGTCCATGGGAGCGGAGGCAGGGGGAGGTAGGGGAGTGGGGCGGGGGAGGGTAATGTCAGGGCATGAGATAGAGGGGGGCTGGGTAGGTGGGTGAATGCAGAGACATACCTCAGTCCTCACCAGCAAGCTTTTATTAAGCACCACTCTGTCACCTGGCCATGGGCTAGCCCTCCCCAGCCAAAGCTCTAGATCACATTCCCCTACTCCCTCCCCTCACCCCCAGCCAGACCTTTCAGGGGTGGGAGGAGTGGGATGGAGGAATCACATGCAATTTAAATCCCCTTAGAAACCTTTCTCCACACCTCTGATAAGGGCCTCATTTCTAAAATATATCGAGAACTGAATCAAATGAGTAAGAATACAAGTCATTGATTGTATGGTCAAAGGATATGAACAGGTAGTTCTCAGATGAAGAAATTAAAAACAATTGTATGAAAAAATGCTCTAAATCACTATTGCTTAGAGAAATGCAAATCAAAACAACTCTGAGGTACCACATCACACCTATCAGATTGGCTAACCTGATAAAACAGGACAATGATAAATGTTGGAGAAGATGTAAGAAAATTGGAACACTGATGCATTGTTGGTGGAGTTGTGAAATGATCCAACCATTCTGCAGAGCAGTTTGGAACTATGCCCAAAGGGCTATAAAAATGTGCATACCCTTTGACCCAGCAATAACACTTCTAAGGCTATATACCAAAGAGCTCATACAAATGGGAAAAGGACCCATGCATATAAAAATATTTATAGCAGCTTTTTTTGTGGTGGCAAAGAACTGGAAACTGAGGGGGTGCCCATCAGTTGGGAAATGGCTGAACAAGTAGTGGTATATGAATGTAATGGAATCTATTGTGCTATTAGAAATGATGAGCAGGCAGACTTCAGAAAAAACCTGGAAAGATTTGTTTGGACTGATGCAGAATGATGTGAGCAGAACCAGGAGAACGTTGTACACAGTAACAGTCACGTTGTGCAATGACTAATATTGATAGACTTAACCCTTCCCAGCAATGCAAAGATCTAAGACATGTCCAATGGCCTTGTGATGGAAAATTCCACATAGGAAGAAAGAACTATGGAGTTTGAATGCAGACTATTTGCTCTTTTTTTTTTCCTTCTGTTTTGTTTTGTTTTGTTTCTTCTTTCTTGTGGTTCCTTCTATTGGTTCCAATTCTTCTTGACAACATCACTAATGTGAAAATATGTTTAATAGGAATGTATATGAAGAGCCTACATCTGATTGCACCCCATCTTGGGGAGGGGGAGAAAATTTAAAACTCAGAAGCCTATGGAAGTGAATGTTGAAAACTCCTATCGCCCAGGAGCTCGAGCATTCTGGGGTAGTGGGGGCTGATGGGGCCCCTCTGCTCCTGCCAGGAGTCATAGTGGCCATTTCTCATGTAAATGGAAGCATGGTGATGTTGATCTACAAGCTGGACAGCATGGGGCCCAGGGTCTGCTGCCAGAGCCCCCTAGTTCAAACCCGCCTTTTGCTGCTTTATGTCTCTGGGAAGTTACTGACTCCTCCGGGCCTCAGTTTCTTCCTCTGTAATAAGGGGGGAGTATCCCTTCCAGCCCAGAAGAGACCCTCCAGAAGCATAGAGGAGCCTGGGCCTGGGTGGGATTCTGGAGGCCATGACAAGCTTCCTGTGTGGCCCTGGCCAAGCTCATCTCAGGCTCTGGGCTTCTCCTCACTTTCCTTCCAGGCTATCAGTTGAATCTCTATGTGGTCTTGGGCAAATCCCTCTCCATTTCTGGGCTTCCTCAGTTTCCTTCTCTGTAAATGGGAGGGGCATGGTGTGGTCTAGATCTCTAAGGTCCCTTTGGGTCTGACATTCTCTGAAGGTATTTGGGTCTTCCAGTCTGACTTGGAAATACCAAGTGGAAATCATGCTGTCACCTGAGCCCAGCATCCCTGGGGTGATGGGTTGGGGGGCAGGGAGTGGCTCCTGAGAATGGTGTCCTTGGTGGAGGTGGGGGAGGGAACGAAAGCTCAGCATGACTTGCTCATCATCATTCAGCTTCTGAGTGTGTGTGTGGGGGGTAAAACCCAGGCCCCTTCTCTGGTGTTATAAAGATGACCCCAGACTCAGTTCCAAAGACTGGTGTTTCAAACCTCTTTATTCTCACTAGAAGCGGGCATACCTCCTTGAAAGGGAAGAATTGCATGTAAAAGAAGTCAGAGCAGGTTTTATAGTTAGTAATTGCCTAACTCCTCCCTTCTGGATCAGGATTGGTCCTAATCCTTCTAGGTTACAATCTTCCTTATATGTCCCACCCTTAACATACATTATGTGCCTAGAATTGTGTTGTCCCTCCCCACCCTGGACTGAGAAGTTAGCCTGTCTGTGCTGATTTCTTATCTACTTATGTGGATATTTAACTCTTTCATTTCTCACTGGCTACAAACAACAGCGGCTTCCTAAGCACCTACTATGTGCTAGGTACCAGAGACAGAAAGACACAATTAGAAAGTCCCTGCCCGTCCTTGAAGCCAGCCACCTCTCCAGAAGTCACTTCAGAGCTTCCGTTTTCTCGCCTGTCCAATGGGGACAATTGTATCTGGACTCCCAGAGTTGCAGGGAGGAAAGAGCCCTTGGTGAAGCCACCAGCCTTCCCTGGAGGGGATGTTTCCTGGGAGTTGCTGGCCGCTCTTCTTGCTTACCACGGCACAGCCGAGCTTCGAGCTGGCTCGGCACAGGCTTGGGGTGTTTGTGATGGATAGGACCCCCTCCCCCACTGGCGGATGCTTGCAGGGTTGTTCTGGTGCCGCTGGGTTCCCCTTCTCATTTGGCATCTTTGGGTGCTGTCACTCCCTGTTGGGGAAGAGCTTTATGGGTGGTCCTGGCTCCCAGGGCCCAGGGGGCCCTCTAAGATCTGTGGTCTCAGCAGCATCTCTTTCTTTCCTCCCCCCAGAGATCTCACGGATAATTCAACTGGACTTGGACCTGAAACATAAGACCAATATTCGCGAGTTGTTTGAGGAATTCGATAATTTCCCTCCAGGGGCTGTCATCGGGATTGCCCGGGAGATGCAGCCGGTGTACAGGTAGGTCACATGGCAGACAGAAGGGGGGACACTAGAGGTTCTTTCTGTGGCTTGGGGGTGTTGTGCTAAGGTCTTGGGGGCTGAGGAGCTTGTGATCCCTCCTGGAATGGATTAGATTGTAAGCTTTTGGAAGGCAGGACTTAGTCTCTGTTCATTTCTCTATCCCCAGTCCTGTGCCCAGGACCTCAGTGCCAGGGACACTTAATAAATGTGTGTTGCCGATTTGAATGAAGGTGGCATTCTTGTATAGGCTCATATTTCTCTTTGAGTCAGCTCTTGCCCACCTTTCCTACGTCCAAATCTGCAGTCTGCTGGAATGGTGACCTCAGAAAAGGGAAATGCTTTGTTCTTCCTGTCCAGGATTTGCGGTCACTCACAGACAGGGGAGGAGTCTCACGCCCCACCCCCCCAGCACCACAGGAGGCAGGACAGGTCTCCCTTCTCCCTGTAAAAGACAGAGGTTTTGTGGCCAATAGCCACGGTGGGACAAACAGCTAGTGTGTATGTGTGTGGCTTCCCAAGAAATGCAAAGCGCTCTGCAGACCTTCACCCATTGAGCGAGACTGTTGTCATCACCTGCTTTACTGATGAAGAAGACTGAGGCCAAGAGGTTGAGTGTCTCAAACCAGAGAAGGAAGGGACCTTGTTGGTCACCTGGTCCATCGCTCGCATTAGGCGGACGAGGGAGTTAAAATGGCGCCCTCGGCAATGGCTTTGAGGGCCTTTGTCATCCTCTCTGGCCCTTTCCTTCTAGACGCCGGAGAGACCAGCTTCCGTCCCCCTCTGGCCATGACAAAACCAACAGCTGTTGTTGGTCACTCGTCTTCCTGACCCCGTTTGGAGTTTTCTTGGCAGAGATACTGGAGTGGTTGGCCATTTCTTTCTCCAGCTCATTTTACAGATGAGGAAATTGAGGTAAACAGGGTGAAGTGACTTGTCCAGGGTCACACAGCTAGGAAGTGTCTGAGGCCATATTTGAACTCAGGTCTTCCTGACTGCAGGCCCAGCATTCTATCCACTGTACCACCCAGTTGGGCTTGCCCAAACTTTGCACCTGACTCCAAGTTCAGTGCGCTCTTTCCATTGTACTATCCTGGGTGTTTTTTGAACTGAATATACCTGTTAACCTGTCAATCAGCATTTTTGGAGCACAGTCCCTGCCCTTGAGGGTTCCCAGTCTAATGGGGGAGACAGCCTGCAGACAGCCACATGCAAACAAGTTATTGACTAGATTCAGTTGGAGAGAATCCTCAGAGGGTAAGCTCCAACCTGAACAGGGATCCTGGAAGGCTTCCTGGAGGAGGCAGGATTTCAGCTGAGATGTGAAGGAAGCCAGGGAGGCTGCTCCCTACCAGATGCCAGCACAGACTACTCTGGGGGCCGGTCAAGCCACCTTTTCTTTCTTGTCATCGAGCACTGAGTCTTATTCTTTGATATTCTTTGATATTCCAAACCAAGAAGGAAACTCCTTCTGAGCCACATTGAGTTGGTGACCATGGAAAGACTAGGTCACTTTAACGTTGACTCGTGAGGGGGCTGGAGGGGCCTGGGCCTGGGGAATCTTTTCTAGGTTAAGCCTCAGCTCATTAGCATTTCTCAGTCCTGCTCTTCCAGCCCTTGGGGAAGACACAGCTTTCATATGGAGCAGCTTGCTAAGAAGTTACCTCTGCTCTGAATTCTAAGAGAAACAATTCCTGTGACTCAGGGATCTGAGACATTGTTTCTGTTTGAATGTGACAAGCTGCAGTAAACTGGAGCATATGGACGTCAGAACTCACTGTTCTGTGACGTGGGACAATTGTAATTTATCTGAATCACTAACACAAGAGACTCTTAAGTATTCACCATGAACTAAGATGGCACTGGCTAGAAGGACCCAGAGTCTGAACCCAGAAAGAAAGATAAGCGGGAGGGGGGTGGTGAGAGAGAGAGAGACAGAGACAGAGAGAGACTGAGAGAGAGACAGAGAGACAAAGAGAAGAGAGGAGAGAGAGAGAGAGAGAGAGAGAGAGAGAGAGAGAGGAGGAGGAGGTGATGGAGGAGAAGAAGAGAAGAGAGACAGAGGGAAAAGACATACACACACAGACAGAGGTAGAAGGACAGATTTCAGAACTGCACTAGCTAAATCTGAAGCTGGACATGATGGATACTACAGTTGACGATGATAAGCAAGCCCAGATGAACTTTGAAGCAAAGAATCAGAAAAATCACCCAGGGGATGGACTAATTTGACTGAGACGTCCAGTCAGTGTGAGGTATTAGCTGGGCATAGTGTGGGTGAACTTGGCTTAATAGAAGCAGCTGTGTCCCACACAAAAGTGATGGTCATCAGGGCACTTGTATGAACAGTTCAAAGGGAGAAAGAGAACAATGGAGTTTACATTCCCAGAGCTTTGGGTGACCCTGAGCTCATGGGTTTTCTTCCCTCAGCTGCCAAATTGATCTTTCTAAAGTCTGGGCTCGACCATGTCACCCCCTCTGCTCAGTAAACCTCAGTGGCTCCCTATCTTTGGCCTTCAAAGTCATTCCTAACTTGGCCCCCTCCTCCCTTTCTACTCTTTTTGCACCTTCCTGTCCTCTGTGATCCAGCAGCATTGGCCTCCTGGCTATTCCCCACAGAAGACGCCCCATCTCCTGACTCTCAGCATTTCCACTGGCTGTTCCCCAGGCCTGGAACTCTCCCAGCTTGTCTGCACTAAAATCCCACCATCTGCAAGAAACCTTTCCCAGTGCCTTCCCCCTGAGGCCACCCCAATTTATCTTGTATGTGTCTGTGGGCACAGAGCTGTTTGCACATCATCTCCCCACTAGACTGGGAGCTTCTTGAGGGCACACACTGGCTTTTGCCTTTCTTTGTGTCTGTGCTTAGTGCAGAGCCTGGCACACAGCAGGCACTTAATAAATGCTGGCTTATTCAAGAGAATGGTGCCAAAGGGTCATGTAAGTGGTGACCCAGAATGTCCAGTTAAAGAGGGATGAATGAAACCTAAGGGCCAGCCTCTCCTGAGGCTTTCCCTCCCTCTGACGTGTCCTCCGAAGGCCTCAGTCAGGCCTCTGCAGCATAGCTTCTGTCTGCGTCGCTGAAGTGAAAGCAGAGCCCCAGGGTGCCCAAGCCTGCAGATGCCCAGGCCAATTCGATGTGTCACTGAAGCCCGACCGGCTTCTGGTGGCTGTTTCTGATCTGATGTGTCTCTGAGACACGCAGAGGCCAGTACTGATCAAAGCTCTCAGCTGGTGAGGCCCAGGGTTCAAAGGACTGGCTTCCCTTTCAAGCTGTTGCCGAGGGATTCCCGGGCCCCTAAACCTTGGCTTTGAACAATATTTCGATCCTGTTACTGGAATGATACATTTCCAGGGGTAATTGAATGTGCTAGGAAATGCTTTTCTGCCTACATAATCCTGTGTCAATCTGCAGCCTGGAGCCAGGAGGTGGGGCTGACCTTCAATCTCCTGGGATCCAGGGGAGGCAGGATATACCCTCGTGCTTGTCTGTGCAGACCCCCCCTCCACCCCCTAGTGGTCCTCCCACCAGGCAGTTCACCAACTAGTGAGGTGGCCCTACATGTTTAGCTAGATGGCAGGCTGCTTCTGGGCTATGGCTGGACCTACCCAAGCTGATGCTGTCATGCTGTGACCTTCCGCCAGGGCCTGCCCCGTCCACACCTCCCTGAGCAGAGGAGCAGCGGGGGAGGGGGGATCCAAGAAGGAGTCTTTGTTTTGCCTGAGGGCCACCTCTGCTCCTAGAAGGTGTTTCATGGCCTCACCCACTGAAGCCCACCCAGACTCCATTTCTCAGTCAGAAAACCTGGAAGTTAGAGGAGATGGTGCCACGGCTGTGACCCTGGCCGGGATGTCCCTATGTGAGGGAACCTCTGCCCTCTAGGCTGTGGGCCCATGAAGCCAGGGATTCTCATTGGTCCCGTGGCCAGCTAACGGCGAGGAAGTCGTGGCACCTGGACTCTGCTGGCTGGTGTGCCATCTCCTCCGGGCAGCTTTCCCTGATTGATTCTGTGGCCTTGGTCTTCTCTTCCCCTTCCAATAACCACAAGGGCTTGTCTGGGGAGACACAAGCTGCTTCCCCCATTAGAGTGCAGGCTCCCTGAGGGCACGGCTGCCTTCCCTTTCACCTGTGCAGCCCCTGCCTCAAGCCCACTTCTGGCAGATGGTATGTACAAAGTACAGCCAGTGCTGGCCTGGGGGGATTAGATTGAAAAGAGTGACAAAACTTTTTGTTAAAAACCATGGATGTGTACCGCTTGATTCTCGGCTTGATTCTCAAAGAGATTCTGTGCCTCTGGCCAAGAGGTCATTCAGGGCACTCTGGTCAGCCGACCCCCAGGAGGAGTCCAGCCAGTGACTGAGGCGGTGCCAGCTGCAGCGAGGCCATGGGCTGTCCTCTTTGAAAAGCTATGGCAAGAGGACACGTCAACAAAGCGGTCAGACCAGCTGGGAGCTCCGTGCTTGCCCGCCTGTGCCCTTCCATGCCAACTGTGCCCACCCTAGGGACCGCTAGCCTGTGGTTCATTACCGTGGGGCAGAAGCAACAGGGCTTTGGTTCCTCCTGCCCAGTAGGTTGCAGGAGGCTCCTCTGTTCACTCCTGAAGATGCTGCTTCCTGGGTTCCTCCCCACTCCCATGGGCTGCCTCCTAAATGGCCCCTGGGCTAACCAGGGTGGGCAGGGGGTCGAGAGCCATTTTATTTATTTAGTTTTTCATTTTCTTCCTCGTTTCTATTAATAATTTGTCTTCACTCTCCCCCACTTCCCCCCAATGGGGGGAAAGCACAAAGCCCTGTAATAAACAGGCAGAGAAAAGCAAAATGAATCCTTCCTGCCTTGGCCATGTCCAAAAATGCGTGTCCTGGTCTCCGTGGATGGTGCTTCTTGAGTCCATCACCTGAGCACCGTTGGAGAGACCCTGGGGGCTGGGGGAGGGTCTCTGAAATGGCGTTGGAGAGGTTGGGGGGGGTAGTAACATCAGGGGCCTTTGGGACCTGAGGAG